TTGATTGTTTGTATGTATTGAATAGGGTCCGAAACTAATAAACCGATTTGAAAAATTCTTTCACTATTTGGAAGTTACATTATCCCCGGTTGATATAGGCTATATTATATTTAAAAAAAAAATAGGGATCATCTGATAAATAACGGCATATTTTAATTTTCTTTATTGCCTTTTTTACGATCGCATAGAGACAGACACTTCTTTAAAGTTTAAATGAATGTTAACTATACTTTCTAAGTTTTAACGGTTATGTGAATTCCTAATTGTTTGCTTGTCCCTTGTATAATTTATTTATACGAAGGTCTGTACAAAAAGGTACTTATTATGATAGAAAAAATATATACAAGTGACCTCTCTTGCGGTAATCGAACTTAAACTTAACGTAAATAATTCACGATAAAGCACATCAAAATACAGGTGTTACTAATGATTTATTCATGGCGCTAATTGCCCCTTTTAATAGAGCCGAATTTCAATCGTCTTTTTATGTGGAAGGTTCCCTCAAAAATAACGTTATTTTTTAGAACAACAAATTAAAACTGGTGAAGTTTTTCAAGACTGTGGACATAAGACGTTGGCAAGCATGACGTTAATTGGATGATCGTTACAACGCACTGGTGAATAAGGCTTATAAATTTACAATGGGTAAAACTAAAACGGTATGGGTAAAATAAAAACTGTCACGAAATTTTCCAGGTGTATGCTTTTGTTGAGAGCTTGAAGCACTGCAACAAGGCAATTTACTTTTCAGCTAATTTGCATTAAATTTCATGTAGAATTTAGTATGACTATTGCCCCCGGGGTGAGGCCACTGAACAAGCAAATTTGAACTAGATCAATGGCTGAGGAGATAAGTCGTGTTCGTGTTATGATTTATGCCTTGTAATAAACTATGGAAATTGTAGATATTTGAAACATTTGAATGCGACATTTTTATTAACAGTATAACTAAAAGAGTAAAATAAAAAGTTTCTTTTCCTCTAAAAATTTAATTATTTTACGGAATGTACATATCTAATTTCGTTTTTTATTAATCAAGCTCAAGAAACAAAAAATATAAGCATTAGGTACCTATATTCACAAATCGTAGACTATATTATGCTTTATCCAAAATAGAGAGGCTAGGTTTTCACGAGCTTGGTAGACTGTAGCTAATATCATAAGCACAGTCAGACATGACATACATGTATTAAAAGAATGAGGGGTTTTGGTTAAAACCTATCCGATATGTGGACTGTGACATTAATAGCCGTCGACTGTGTTATTCGTTGAATCTAATATATAAAATTCTCGTGTCACGGTGTTTGTAATTGAACTCCATCGAAACGGCTCGACCGGAATTCGTGAAATTTTGTGTGCATATCGGCCAGGGTGAGAATGAGACATCTATTTTTCATCCCCCTAAATGTTAAGGGTGGTCAGTTGTAAAATTTTTTGTTTTTATTTTTTTATGATACAGCATACAAAAATACACACAAACCTAAATTTTCACCCCTCTACGCAGACGTAGTCGCGGGCAGCAGCTAGTGTTATATAAAAGTGATAAATATTTAAAATTACTCGTAAGTAATTAATTACATTCATTTGAACTTATCTCAAAAAGTGCGTCATTTATTCGCAACTCATTTATTTTACGCGCGATCATTCATAACTAACACACACACAACAAGATCGTGCACAATAAAATTTAGGTTTTTATGAATGAATACCGCAATATCAACACCTTCTATTTTCTAGGGAATAGAATGGCATTTAATTTTTTTTTTTTTTTTGGAAAAAAGAACCTGTTTAAAGAACAATGCCCATTTTTGACCTGATTGTGTATAGAGATGAAATAAATATTAAAATTTAGCTAATTTCATTTTATAGTAATTACACTAATCACAATGTTAAAAGAAGGTCGGGAAAAAAATATTTTTTGATATTTCTTTACGCTTATTTTACTTCAAGGGTAAACATATTACCATGTTTTGAACGCACCTTAACAATCCTTTGCATAGGCCGTTCCATTTTTCACACTACCTAATTGACTGTATTCAACTTTTTCTGAGTTTTGTACGTGTTTTTACGTGTTAGAGAAGTGAGTAAGCACGTAATTAACAGTATTTGTATAAAAATTAAGATCAATCTTATTAGTAGTATAGATTTATTAAAAATAATAAATTATTAATGCAGCATGTAATAAAGTTCGCACGGCTCTCGTAAATGGATTTTTTTGACATTTGACAGTTCTGCGAGTGACTCATACTCATCGGTATTCGCCAGTAATTGTGAGTATTTATGTTTATTATTTTTAATCTAAAAATTTCAATCATGTCATAATCAAACTAACTAAAGCTCCTATAAATTATACCTGTGACATAACACAAACAACTGTTCAAAAGATCTATATATCCAAAATATGTATTATAAACTCAATATATGTTTTTTATTTCAGATTACTGAGGAAGATTATATTTGTAAATCTTGTAATGAACTCTTTATGAGAATAATAAACCAGGAATTAACAAGCTGTGATGTTGCTCAAGCTTCAGGATTATCTCAACCAGGTCGAAGAACAGTTTTTGATAATCGTTCAGAAAAGCAAAGACAGATAAATGCTATTATACAAACAAGTTCACAACATCACATATTCATGTTTCTACATTGTTAATCATTTGCCAGTATAAAACTTGATACTATTAATGTAGATTATTTCTCTTTTGTATTTTAGATGTAAATTAATCTGTTATTAATTGACTGATGTTGTAATATTTTTAACCACAAATAAATACATAATTGATTTTTTTTAATTATATTTTTAAGATGAATAATAATTATTGCTTTATTACTTCTTTTGTAGATAGTTTTCTTTTGTAGATAATCATCATCTGATAGAATATGCCACTGGATGAGTTGTAAGAGTGCTGCCACACATATTAGGCATGTTGCTGAAGTTTGTGGTGTTATTCTACTGAAGATAATTTATTTTTTATGTTTCTGAGATTAAGTTATTAGTGAACTTATACTATTTGCATTAGATACCAAATAAGGCAAGCCAAATCCTATTATGGCGAACATATTCACTTTCATGGATCATATAGAATAGAAATATGTAGGGACACAGGAGTTTTCTAGGAATAATCTGAGAGGAAGTGGTGACAACACTAATAAGAGGGAAAATGTAAAAAAAAAGTCCTGGCACATTTAAAGAAAACACTATTGTCTACATTTTAATAGAAAATAATGTGTCTGGTAGAGCTAGTATAGTCATACTGTTGTAATTGTTTAGTTGGTTGGCGAACCATAGGATGTTGCACTCATGTTATGACTAGGTGGTACTTCGGATGAACTATCAAGAAAATATCTCTGTTATAGCAGAATTTCTGGATAATATAGTTATAAGACATTTAAGTGAAGATGATGATAATTAATAAAGCATTCCACTGTAACATAGTGTTTTATTTTTTCCCTCGTTTTATTCATCAGGTATTATAATTATCGATTATTATGTATTGTAGTGCAGGCCAATGAAATGTGTAGGGCAGATAAATGATCACTTTTAACTTACGTTTTTTTAGTAAGTACTTATGTGAGCTGTTGAAATAGCAGATAATGCTCTTCACTCAATTTATAGTGACAATAATCGAGTCTAAGCAGTGACTTAAGGGCAGTCGGTTTTTAGGAATTCACAAGTAAAAAAGACATTTTAGACTAGATAGGCTAATATTATTATTTTAGAATAAACTTGAGCGTAAAAAGTTAGTTCTAGCACATTTATTTCGTTATATTAGGTAACTGCAAATCCTAACCTAAAAAGTAACATTTTTTTATAATTTTTGGACTTCGTAGACCAGCAATCGTAAAAATGACTATATGATATTAATTTACTAACTTAAAGGTAGTCTTTCTGCTATACCTTGTAACTATACATACACTTTCATTATCAGGTTTTTAAATGTATGGGAAGTGGGCATTGTTCTTTGGGTATTTCTCAAAAAATCTCCCTGTATATGTATAATATGTATTTATTAACAAAAATAAAGTGTTTAAGTATGTTTATCAGTTATCTAATATCCATATACCCACGCTACAAGCGTAGCTTAGTATGGGACTAGAGAACGTTATGTAAAAAATGTGTCTTAAAAATATTTAAAAAAAATAAATTAAACTTAATATCTAGTCACAGTAAAATAAAACAAAATTAATACATTAGAAAACAAACTTAATGAATTTATGACTTGGAAATTTCTTTAATAAACACGATGTTTTAGTTTTTTAGTTTTAGTTTTATAGAAGACTGCGTTGTAAAGTTGTATAATATGGTGATGTGGAAAGTTTATACTTACGTTATACGCTGTCGAAGATAAAGAAAAAAAGAAAAAAAATCTTAAGTTCATTCTTTTTAAAAAAATGAATAAGCCCCTTTAGAAGTTGGCAAAAAGTTGTGATAACCAATCATGATTACGTCACTCCTAAATTTTTTTTCGTTGTGTTATTAAAACTATTTTACATAATGTTAAAGTTAGTTATCGAGAAACAGTAAACGTCAATATACAGACTACACGTGACGTAATCAATTGAACCGTAAATAAGATAACACTACACAACGGCCTCAACTGCGAACTGTTACGCAGTTAGTGTTCTAACCGTGACACGTATTGACCCGGAGATTGGAGATGCACTAGACGTTTCATACGATAAGACTCAGCCGCAAAAGATAAGAACGCTTGGCCAGACGGAGACCTATTCCTAACTAACTGATTTCGACGCACAATATGTACGGAGTACATATATTTATATAACACCACATACACCTCACAGAAAAAAAGTCGCTGGAGGTAACAGTCAATAACGAATAATCAAATATCATATTTTAACGAATGTAGTCACTAATTTTATAACGCCACGTAAACGAGGAAGGTGTAAGCATCGTGGTAATACGCAACGTTACCCATCGGGACGATAGGCTTGGTGACGATTTATATATATGTGCGATTGCGTAAATAAGGCCTTCTCACCTTTAACGCTCTTGCGCGGTCCTCTAGCACCAGCGGCGGCGGCAGGAACTGGGCATCCCACAGACTGCGCTCTGACGGCGCACAGGAACCGTTCTGCTGGGAGCCGTTCGTCTGGGCAGAGCCGTTGAGCTGGGAGCCGTGCCCGTTCGGCAGCGCCTCCCCCATCCCGAAGCTCTCCACTGCCGTCGACATTTTCTTTCAGCCGGGAATGTTTTACTTGATATATCTGAAAAGGATTATCACAAATTGGTATGCCTAGATAGAGAGAACTCTCGTTCGAATTATCGTGTAAAACGATATTGGAAATTGTTTGTATGCTGGAAAGAATATAATAATAGATGCGCCAAGCATTGCTTCAAATGCTAAGAAAAAATGTAGTTAAAAGACGTTAAGATTTACGTCGGTGTGGCAATCAGCCGTTGGGCTTAGTGGCTACAGCGTAAGGCCGTAAATGCTGGACTTGGGCTCTATGTAGACTTGGGTTCGATTCCCACAACGGCGACAATATTTTCGTACTTTTCCTACAAATTTTAATGTACAATCTTAAGAGTAGATATAACAAATTTAGTATTTAAATACTAGCGGCCCGCCCCGGCTTCGCACGGGTAACAATACAGTTAACAAAAAATTTTAAAATTAAAAATTATCATACACACACACATAAAACCTTCCGAATATGTTCTAATCATGTTTTAATGAAATACCCTTGCAATTACGTCATGAAGATCGAAAGATCGCTGACCAGATAATGGTTCCGCTTTAATTCCGGGACATTCGGGGTTACACGAAAAGTGACAAATAAGTCTGGTCTCCCATAGCTTCGGACATAAATCATCGCATCTTTGGTTTTTTAATGCAGATAACTCAGAGAACCTGTAAATGAATATGACGTTGCAGATTACGCGTTGACCGATATTTGATGGGCCAATGTCTTGATTTAAAGCGTCTCTAAGATGAATGTTTCACCAGCCCTCAGGCTCTGATGATTACGACATCATGTGTAATTAAATCTTTCTGATATATTTTTGCCATCGTATCGACAATGTATTAAATAAAAACCGGCCAAGTGCGAGTCGGACTCGCACACGACGGGTTCCGTACCGACCTCACAGAAGACCGGCGTAAAATAGAAGTGTTACACGTAGCTTCTACGTTTCGTCTGGTGAGAGAGGTAGCCGGGGCCCTCTTTATTTAAAGATGGTAACTCATTCGCAACCCTACAGGTGTTGCAAATATCCATGGGTGGCGGTTATTACTTAACATCAGGTGAACCGCCAGCTCGTTTACTTTTAATATCTTTATTCAATATAGAATTATTATTCTTAGATATTGTCAAAAACACTACTACTGTCAACATTATCTATAAAAACGGCAAAAAAATCATGTCTGTTTTATGGGAGCCCCACTTATTTATATATTTTTTTGTTTTTTAGTATTTGTTGTTATAGCGGCTACAGAAATACATCGTTTGTGCGAATTTCCACTGTCTAACTATCACGGTTCATGGTGACATATGGACAGACATACGGACATACAGACAGACAGCGAAACCCTAATAAGTCCCAGTAATAATGCTATGGATTAAAACAGGTAGCTCTAACCATCAACCTAAATGCATAAAATTGCATGCATGTCACAGTTTTGTTACACACAGTACCTTGCTGAGGAATAGTCAAATATTAACCGTCTTCTCCTATTACGACTATTAAGAGATATTTTAGTGGATCATACAATCGGTGTAACTCAGAGACCCTTTTAAGTTGGTCGTGTCTACCGTGCAATATTATATCTCTAGGGCATTATAGGGGTTACGTACCCAAAGGGTAAAACGGGACCCTATTACTAAGACTCCACTGTCTGTCTGTCCCTCTGTCAACAAGCTGTATCTCATGAACCGTGATAGTTACACAGTTGAAATTTGATCTGGATATTTGTTTCCCAAGGAGGGTTGACGTCAGGTAGACGGCTGGTTGTAAAAATATAGCCAAAACCGCTTACCACATGATTCATGTTGTGCCGATCCCACCTAGGTGGGATAGGGGAACGAGGATGATGATAACTTGTATACTTGTCCCTCTATTTTAAAAATTCGCGCTAAACGAAATCATTTGAAACAGGCTATTACAGTTTCGGATGTTGGTTAAAAATGTCCAGATGGTGCATGATTATTTGTCAAAAGATTTTTTATTGGCTGTGGCGGCTCCTCAATATTGGGGAGACTAACTTTTCTAGAAGCACAGCACATACCATATGGTTCATCGACCCATTTTTTAGCAGAACACTTAGAGCAGAAGACTTTTGAGCTTAATGCATTAAAGATCTGTTACTGTGAGCTAAAAGTCGATTACGAACTCTAGTCGTTGACGTTTGTTGTCTTTCTCTCTAATGTCGTAGGCGTTGGGAACGCTCAGAGCTCGATTCCCTAATGCATGTAGTGTAATTTGTATATTTATATTATTATGCTCTTCAAGCCGCTGCAAGCACTCTCCTTGACTCTCTCTAACTTGTAAGACGATTTAAACTTTCCGGCAAAGATTCCTCATTACGGCGTATATTTGATGCCCTCGCCTGGGAACTATTTCTAGAAAGATGGGATTTTGATCTTTTGGGCATTTTAAAATGACAAAAAAAATTTAACTGCCTTTGTATTTAATAATTTGCTAACTGTTGAACAGGAACCAGTACAAATGTGATTGAAAAATTAAATGAATGAATATAATGATTAATAATTACTATGGAGTTGCATGGTACTTCTGTACGACGAAATGGTCTACGGTAAACGTGGAACCATGAATGGATATGTCTTGAGTGGTGGACATATCATCGATAGCTGGTGGTAGTTGGCGTCTTAGTGACCATCACTATGATACGTTAGCTGTCATTCGGCATAGTAAGAGTTTGGTGGTAGTTGGCGTCTTAGTGTGTTGCACTATAATACGTCGACTGATCATCTGACTTTGGGGAGTCTGGTGGTGGCTTGCGTCTTAGTGTATTCCACTATGATACCTTGGCTATTGCTTGACTGGGGTGAGGGTCCGTTGGTGGTTTGCGTCTTAGTTTTTACGCTATGATACGTCGACTATCATCCGGATCGTGTAAGAGTATGTTTGGACACTTCGTGTGTTCCGAGTATATTCTAAACTTTGGAGCCGAAGTTGATTGGAGTTATAATGGTGTGGTGTAAAGGTGTGCCACCTACGCGATAGTCACATTGATGCGTGCGGCTATATGCAGTAATGCGTCTTGTGGTAATTGCGGGGTGATCTGCGCCTAATATCATTGCATCGTATGATTCTGGTTGACGGAGGTTCGAGGTGATGATGTCTGCTGTGTATGCGGATAGGTTGTATGTTGGCTTGTTTACCTGCGATAGTTGTATTGATGCATGTTGCATTTAGTGACATTGCGTCTTGACATTTGCTTGGGAGACGCAGACTCGGCCATTATGAATAGCGCATAATGGCCGAGTCTGCGTCTCGGTTTGATGCACATCTCAGTAGATTTGTCCAAGTCTGATTCCTGATGACGGAACTGCAGATTGTCTGACCTCCTTTATACGTTTTAACATTATTAACGAATCTCAGTAAAGTTCCAACTTGGCAACTTGCTGGTGGGTGAGACAAACTTGATCGAAAATACATTATACTCAATGTCAGAGACACTGACAAATAAATATATGTTGCCAATTATAAACCCTTCTGATGGCTAAACATAAAAATCACAACTATGGCTATATCTGACTATTGCAATGGTTGGTGGAGCATATGCGTTTACCTCATGTGGATTGTAGCTGGCGGGAGAAAACCTCTCAAGGCTGCGGCGATGCCGTGCAACGTTTTAACCATACCCTTGGGGTGACAGTGACTCATGACGCGCTCTGCGACGAAATGTCGTGCTAACCTTGTAATTGGTGGTGATGCCAAAACACTAACATTCGCGTGTGCAGCCGCGGCGATCTGGCAAAAGTGGTGGCGCTTACGGAGGGCTTATTATATCATAGGGCCAGAGTACCTGATTATCAACACATACCCAAAACCGTATTGACGTACATTCACGAAGACTGGATTTGTCGTCGGCTTGTATGACGTTACACGCATTAACATGCGCGACTTCAGTCAAAGTTTGTGCTTACGCACCTCCAAGGGGCCAAGCCCTCTTTATGCTGGTGAAACAGCTTTGCAATGGAGTTCGGTCCTTTCCCCAACTTTTTGTCCTTCTGGGGGGGGGGGGGGGGGGGGGGGGGGGGGATAATGTTGGTTGGCGCTCACCGCACACGGCGTTGGTGAGCGTTTTCATCAAACAATTTTTCACTTTACAGTGTCAACAAATTATATGTGTTTTGCTATAATTCTATGAATGTGCTGCAGTTAAAAATCTTAATTCGAATAAGTCTATACTACTATTTCTGTCGCAACCGAACAGCGACATTGTCACTTTGTGCATCATAGGCACATTACACTTAATTAGGCATGAAACGTATATATGTAATGTACTTTTCATGCCTAATTTAAGGCAGTACGCGACTCGCCACCGTCCAACCAATACCATATACCATTTTTTGTACCGCGTATTCTTTATACCATTTTATAACATTTACCATATAAGTGTTAACTGTTAATAAACCATTTACCAGAATATTTATAAACTCTCCCTGTACAACCTTCTTCAGAGTGGAAAGTAGTTTAAATATTTCGGTGCCTTATCCCTGGAGTAGCGCAATTTTAAGTATAATATTTTTAAATTTCATATTTCTAAGACAGAACGAAACACAATTACGTAACTAAATAATCATAAAATTTAATATAAAAAGTTACCGACTTATTAGTGACTGTTTATTCCAGCCAAAGTAATATAGATAATCATACGTCCATAAAGATAAATATTTCGCTAATCCCACAATGAGGCCGGACTGACCCTGATAACATGAGGAAATTAATCAGTAACACGAAACAAAATTTAATAAAAGAAGCAATTGTCTATTAGATTTGTTAACGAAAAACTTATTCGAAACAACAATTTTAACACAATGCTCTACAACATGTCTAACAGATTTAATAATCCAAAAGAAGTATCTGTTAACAGGAAACCAGTACAACAAGCAGTTAAGATCATGTTCGAGATGTAAGATTACAGGAAAATGTGTATGGAATAAAACTGTCAGCTAGGTTACTACACCGAGTACTGAATTACAATTAGGCTTCGTTAATTTAAGCTCTCATCACAATC